TTTAATTTGTCTTCTTTAATCATGTTTAGTATATAATTTTAGAAAACCAATCGTAATTTAATTTCTGCTAACAAAAATTATTAAAAGACAATTTTATCACTTAATGTTGGCTATTTTTTCTTTAGTTTTAAATTATTGTTAGGTGTTTTATCTTGTGTAAACTAATATTTTTATTTATTAATCTTGATTATTTTTAAAAATTTTGTAGAGCATAAAGAACTATGAAAAGTGTTGATGATAATGTGATGAATGTTGATGAGATTGATGACTTGAAGGAAAATTCTTATGAAGAAGATAGTGAAAAGGAAGTTGAGGGAGATACAATGACTAAAAAAAATGGGAAGCCTTCTAATCCCTCTATAAGTAATGACAAAGTAGAAAGAAAAAAGACATCTCTTGTATGGGATTATTTTTAGAAAACCAATGATCCAAACAAGGTGAAGTGCAATTATTGTGGAAAGTGTATTGTGCACAGGTCATCTAATGGACTAGTGGTATGAAAAATCATATTACAAGATGTAAAAAGTTTCCTACAAGTTTGGATAAAAAAATTATTGATTTTGAATCCAAAACAATTGTATCTCCAAACGGCGCAAGTAAAACTATTCAAGTCCCTAAGTGTTGGCAATTTGATCAAGATAATTATAGGAAGGCACTTGCTAGGATGTTTATTGTAGATGAATTGTCCTTTGCCTTTGTGGAGTGTGAAGGATTTCGATATTTTTGCAAACAAATATTTCCTATATTTATTCCTCCTTCGTATGCCACTCTAACAAGAGATTGTTATACTCTCTTCATAAGTAAATTGAAAGGATTTTTGAATAATTTATCTTTAAGATTGTGTCTCACTACCGACACTTGGACTCTGGTCAAAACTTGCGATATATGAGCCTTACAACAAACTTTATTGATGATCAGTGGACTTTGCATAAAACGATAATCAGTTTTTGTTATGTTTCGGGCCCTTCTTTTGAAATCATTAGAAAATTCATTGAAACATATTTAAAATGAATGAAATCTTCGTAAGATTTTAACCATAACTATTGACAATGCTAGTTCAAATAATGTGACCATTCAATATCTTAAAAGAATAATCACTCATTGGGGGGCAGCGTGTTGGGTGATAAATTTCTACATATGTAATGTGCGACACATATATTAAACTTTGTTGTTAAGGATGGTTTGAAAGATCTTTATTTATCCATTGCTCGAATTCCTGGTGCTGTGAGATTTGTGAAGTCTTCTCCTAATAGATTTCAAAAGTTCAAGGCTTACATAGAAGAAGAAAATATTACAAGTAAGAGTTTTGTTTGCTTAAATGTTGAAACAAGGTGCAATTCTAATTTTTTAATGCTTGAATCTGCTTTGAAATTTAAGATATCTTTCGATAACTTGTACACCAAGGGTGGTGCCTATTGCAAGGATTTGAGGTGGCATTTTGGTGTACCCGGTGATAATGATTGGAAAAGAGTAAAAGTTTTCTTACTTTTTTTACATATCTTTTGTGAGGCTACATTAAAGATGTCAAGGTGTCTTCATGTGATAGGTAACTCTTATGTACCTCAAATTTTTAAAGTTAGAGACTTGATATATACTTATTGTGCTCATGAAAGTAAATGCATTAGAAGGATGACTCATCAAATGAAGGTCAAACATGATAAATATTTGTTAATGGTATGTTTTATTTAGTGTTTTGAGCCTTTAAACCACCTAAATTCAAATTTAGGTCTTTAAATCAAATTTCTCCAAATCAAAAATATAAATTTCCTATTGAAACCCAGGGTTGATAGATTACCAAAATTTAATCAATTTGTTATTTGATTGAGTATATTAGCTTAATCCCTAATTTTAAGGTTTAGGATTTCAAGCATTGAGTGTTTAAAAATGATGTTTTTCTCAAGGTTGAAGATACAGAAAATGGCCTTATTTTCTACAATTTTCCTAAACCGGTGGAATATAACCCTCCAAAGAAGGTAGGCTAAATTGTAAAATTAAAGAAATAAAGAGGTATGACTAAATTACAACAAATTACCACTTAATTAGCTAATTCACCAAAAAAAGAAAATGGTGAAATCATGGAACTAGTCCTCTATATTTTGTACTCTTAACACTAATTGTTGATGATCTAACCAATCCTTTAGCAATTACTCTTTTTTTCTTGTTTTCATTTGAGCATCTGAGTTTCCATTTTTTTTACTCAAGTCATTATATTATTGCTATGAACAACACCAAATTCCCATTTTCATGCTATGAACTCATATGCACCCCAAATGCCCCATGCAACCATACAAGCATCAATATTACACATGCTGAACTACAAGCAGTAAGAAAGGGTTAGAAGTGTGTTACCTTACACCTAGGAGATGGAGAAACAACCTCAAGCTCACCCAAGGACCTATTTCTCTTTTCCCTTAACCTTTAAGCTTTTACCCGTTTCTCTCACTAGAAAAATCAATGGTATGGGTTATTAGTTCATCTAAAAGACTTAGGAGAGGTAGAAATGTGATTCTAAACATTAAAAACGAGCTAGAAACACCCTAAGAGTCTAAAACTCAAAACCCCTACTAAACCTATTCCATGGCTACCACAACCATTTGTGAAAAAATATAGCTTAAAAAGAAAGCTCTATGAATAGAGATCATAAAACTTACCTTCTTTAAAACAACAATGAAATCCTTCATAACCAAGCTATCACCCTTGTTCAAGATGGAGAAGATAAGGGAATGAGTTTTGAAAAGAGTAAGATGAAAGAGTATGGAAGATGATTCCAATGTGTGACTTAATCCCTTTTAATGGGATTCAACGTTTAAAAGATTTTAGGGTTAACAACAACATTAGTCCTTCTTCATTCATGCCCAATTCAAGGATATCCTTTTTTAAACCATAATGGGCTCTAACCAAGCCCAAATCACTCCATATTTGGACACGACCTTCTTAAAAGCCTATTGGGTTTAGTTTACTCTCTCTCGGGTTAGATCGAACTACAAAAAAGAAGCAATCGGGTGTTACAAGACTAATAATCAAACACCACATGAAATTAGAATAACAAATAATTGCTTATTAATAAAAAAATAGAAAACTTGGGTTGAGTTGTTTAACCAACCTTGGAGTTATGAGAGACAAATACATAATGGTTTTGGAGAGTAGCGAGAGTCGTTTGACGAGTTAACCCAACGAGGAATCATTCTTCTGCACTCTTTGTTTCAATAGAACCCAATACAGACTCAATCGGAGAATTAAGGTTTGAAGAAAACCCAAAGTTAGAATGAGCATAACTCAAAAAAGCTTACCAAATCTTCTTTTAACGACGACTTACCATCCATTTGCTCTAATAAAGTCAACAACAATGAACATAATGTTGCCTACATAACAATGATCAACATAATCAAAACAATATAATTACTCAAGTGATTACACTTAACTAATCAAAGTTACTCGATTTTGTCTCATATTATATACTCCTTGGTATTTTTAACTTTTCCTTTTCGAATTTGATTCTCCACACTCTAACAATAGAGAAACACATATTTGTCAATAATTTCCTCATCTAAAATTGATTCTAACATAAATCCATAATTGGGATTCAATTTGGATTTCACTTATACTTCGAAAATGATGGAATTAAACACACCATTCAAAAGGAAATTTCATGAAATTTTCAATGGTATGCTTAATTTAGTGTTTTGAGCCCTTAAACCACCTAATCTCTAAATTCTAATTTTGGTCTTTGAATCAAATTTCTCCGAATCAAGTTTTGCTCAAGGTTGAAGATAATGGAATATAGCCTTTCTTTCCGCAATTTTCCTAAACCGGTGGAGTAAGTCCAAAGAAGGTAAGCTAAATTGTGAAATTAAAAAGATAAAGAGGTAGGACTAAATTACAAAAAATTGCCACTTAAGTAGCTAATTCACCAAAAATAAATGGTGAAATCATGGAATTAGTCCTCCATATTTTCTACTCTTAACCCTAATTGTTGCATGATCTAATCAATCCTTTAACAATTACTCTTTTTTTTCATTTGAGCATCTAAGTTTCCATTTCTTTTACTAAAGTCGTCATATTATTCATTCATCACTTTTTAATTCTGAAATCATTTTCAAAACAAATTATTCTTTAATCTTATTCATTAAATGAAATTAATCTCAATCTCGAAATTAAAAATATCAATATAACTTACTAAAAGAGAACTATCTATTCATTGGACATCAAAACAATTTTAGACTAGTTTTTGAGATATTACTTTACAAAAGTTTAAATGATGCCATTTAGATACTTTATAGTTTTTTTTATAAGTATGGAGTAAATATAAAATAATATATATTTAAAGTTTATTAATTATTTGATAAATAAACACCTATACTTTTATATACATAATATTCAAATCTAAAATTTTAAATAATAACAATAAATATTTTAATTATTCAGATCGTTTAATTTAAACAATACTCAGTAGTAGGGGGTGCTTATTAAGCGAGTTGATCACGAGTTGGGCAGTACTCGATTCGTGCTCGTTAAAAAAATTTATTGCACAACTCGATTCGTTACTCGTTAAGCTCGTTAAAATTTTGCTCGACTCGTGCTCGTTAAAAGAACTTATTGCTCGACTCGTTCTTGTTAAGCTCGTTGCTCGTTAAGCCCGTTGCTCAACTCTTTGCTCGTTAAACTCATTAAAATTTTTATCTTATTTTTTAACTATAGATAAAATCTATTAATACTATAAATTAATAGATTAGTCATTTATCATATTTTTATTATCTATTAATAAATTAATAATTTTTGAATGAAATAATTTTTTTTAAATAATTACTAAAAATTATAAAAAAAATTAACTATCAGCTCGAGAACTTAGAGAGTTGATTTGAATTGAGTTTATTATAAATAAAGAAAATGTTCAAAAAATATCTCGGATGAAGCTTCCTGGAAACTGCAATGGAGGTTGGATTTCCCCAACCATTTAATCCCCCAACCTTCTTCCCTCTTTCCCCTCGATTTCTTTCATCTTCTGTCCTAACCCCCAAATTCATTTCCATTGCTTTCATTCTTCATTCTTTCTTTAATCACCATGAAACTAATCAACAAGCTTAGTCCCAAGCGTCTCTTCCGATCTGACAAACAGAGTCGGTTCACCGTCTCCAGATTCGATCCTTCATCGTATAGCTCGGGTTCGGCTACATCTTCTTCGTCGGAATCCGCCTCTTCAGTTCACAAAGGAATCCAGTACCCTCCATCCGCCACCGCTGGTAACGGAACACCCACCAGCGTTTTACCCGAAGCATCGGGCGGCTGGTCTGATTTTCCCGCTAATTTTTATCTAGTGCTTTCCCAAGCTGTCAAAACGGTGGATAAAGATAACGACGGGGTTATTACGAGACGCGAGCTCGAGGATTTGCTGAGCAAGTTCGCCAGGGAGCCGCCGAGCCAGGAGGAGATGAATCGAGACGGCGACGGTTGCATCAGCCTGGAAGCTTTAGTGAGCCAGGTGGCCGGATCGGGCTGCTACGAACCGGCTTGCGAACCGGAGCTGAGGGAGACTTTCGATATATTCGATACGGATCACGACGGGAGGATCACGGCGGAGGAGTTAATGGCGTTCTATAGGGAAAAGATAGGGGATGAGGGGTGCACGTTAGAGGATTGCCGGCTCATGATAGCGAGTGTTGATAAGAATGGGGATGGGTTCGTGTGCTTCGAGGACTTCTCCAAAATGATGGGGTCATACTCTTATTTTAAGGAGTAAAAAAGAAAAGGGTATTTAACTTTTCTAATTATTTCTTTGAACTTCCACTGTTATTTCATTCATAAGTGAATTTCACGGCTTATTTTGTGGTGAAATTACATATTAGATACCTCAATAAGAAGGTGCATATTAATTCAGTTCTTATATTATTAAGTAGATCAATTTAGTCAATTTAGTACGTTTTAAATTAATATTTTTTTATTGAGAGTATTTGTTTAGATTATTGTTTCTATTATTAAGGATAAATTGTAATGCGCATCCCTCAACTATCATTGAAGTTTAAATTTTTTGATTTATTCACTTAATTTTTGAATTACTCCTGTTCTATTATGACATGATAACTAACACCCTAACAACTTAGGTGGCATTTAATTGGCATGAATCCCTTTGAATTAGGGGAATTAAAATTCAATTCCACCACTTTCACATGATTGATTCAAGATTTCCAAGGGAATTGAAATCTCTCATGGCTTCAACTCTCTATTTAATGATGGAAAGTGAATTTCATCCAAGAATGGATGAAATTCAATTTCCTTGTTGGAGAGAATTGAAATTTGACCATACTACCTTCATCAATCTTTTGGTAATTTATTCATGTATTGAATAAAAATATTTTTTTATTATTTCAGATCAGGTTGAGTTTCTAATTCATATAATTGGGTCGGGTTAAGTTCGGGTTTAGGGTGAAAAATACTCGATTCGAAAATATATATAATTTTACCTTATATATTTAGAAATAATTACAATAATACCCCTATATATATAATTTTTATTGAATAAAAATATTTTTTTATTATTTCGGGTCGGGTCGGATTTTCAATTCATATATTCGGGTCGGGTCAGGTGAAATTTTATTTTGGTCAGGTCAGGTTGGTTTTTTTTAAGGGTGATATTCGGGTCGGGTTCGGGTTTAGGGTGAAAAATATCCGACCCGACCAAAAAAATATATAATTTTACCTTATATATTTAGGAATAATTACAATAATATCCATCTCTATATATTTTTTTTTCAATTAAGTCACTGTTTTTATTAAATAAAAATATTTTTTTTATTATTTCGGGTCGAGTCGGGTTTCTAATTTATATATTCGGGACGGGTGAAACTTTATTTTGGTCGGGTCGGGTCTCGAATGAAAGTTTTCTTGTTCTCGGGTCGGGTCGGGTGGACCAAAAACCCGACCCAACCTGACCTATGATCATCCCTAATTGAGATGATTTTAACTTATGATGTTTATTAACATGATTTTTATAATTTATTGAAATGAATAATCAATCAATAAAATTTAAATTGAAATTTAATTTTTTTTTAAAATTTTTATAATATATTGCTACATATAATTTATAAAATAAACTAAAATTAAGTAAAAAAAAAAAACAAGAAGAGCAATCTTGTCATTTTACATTACTGAAATCAAATTCATCTGATATGTCTGCGAACCAAACAGAATATGGAATTGGATTCCAATTCCTGACAGATTTCAATTATTTCACAGATTTCATTTCTCTCATAAACATTCCAGCGAACCAAACGTCACCTTAATTTTGAATTATTACTAAAATCAAATTTAGAATAAAATGATAGTGCATCGAGACTTTCGTTAAATTCTTTTTTATCATTGAATTCATTTAATAAATTTAAGATGGTTAATTTAATAAATTCTGATAAATATAAATTTCAATATAACATTTTATCACTAACATAGTAAATATGGTAAATCTAATATTATCAAATTCGCTTATAAATTATCTTCCGTCGCTTTCCCATTTTAAATTACTTGATGAAATCTATATAAAAAAAAAGTTGTGAGGGCAGCTTGGGTAAAGTTGAACGTTGATGGCACTAGAAATAACTCGTCGGGGTTTTTTCACTTGTGGAAGGATACTTCCAAACCAGAATGGGTCTTGGATCATGAGGTTCTCAAAACGAATTGGCCGATGCTCTGTGCTTGATGCGGAATTATGGGGGATTTTTTGGGGGCTGAATCTGGCATGGGATGGGAATTATAGACATGTTGTGGTGGAGTCCGATAGCAAGGAAGCCATTGTGTGCTTTTGTCAGGTAAAAATTCGAGTGAGGGCAGGTCCTCTTTGCTTCCTCATATGATTTTAAATTTTACTCAACCAATCTAATAAATTGAATCATCAATTCTCGATTTAATTGATCATGTCCATTTATTTCTAACAAACAAACTTACATTTGAGTGTTTGGCAAACAACTGATAGTTGATAGCTGATAGTTGATTTCAGTAACTGGTTTGACAAATTGATTAGATTAGTTGATTTTAGAAATTGATTTGATTAACTATTTATATAGAAGTGTTTGGTAAAATTTAATTGATAGCTGATATGGGTAAAATGACAAATAAGGGCAGGATACATTTAGTTATTAAATACATATATGTTTTATAATATTTTAGTCTTTATAGGGTGGAATTATTCAGATAAAATGATTTTGATTAGGAATTAAAATTTCTTTAAGAAAATTAATAAATATTTTTGAAAATTTTGAATATATTTTTTAAATTTAATATTTATAATTATTAATATTGTGAGATTGATAGATACTATTATCCTTGTATAAAATATCAACATTATATATTTTTCTCTCTCATGTTTTGCTATATTTTCTTAACTAAAATATATTTGAGAATTTACAACCAAAAAATAAAATAATAAAATAAAATTTTACTAATTCATCATTAGATGTATAAAATTCATTTTACACAAATTCATTGAAAATAAATTTAGATTAGATAAATATTCAAGAAAGAGATACATATCCAAACAAGTACAAACAAATAGGAATATTTATCGCAATGATGTAATTATGGAAATAACAAGATCAAATATTTCATTTAATATCTTATTTTGTTATCATCTCTCTCAAACTGCTGGATTTTCCAGCGTTTTCATTTTCAGCTTATTTTGCATAATAAATTTTTTCAAAAAAGTGTTTATCAAATACTAAAAATGGAGGTTTGACTACCAATAAGCTATTTATGTTCAAATAAACTAATAATTCTTCAAAAAGTTGTTTACCAAACACCCTCGTTATTATATTTTTTTATTAATACAAAAATTATATTCAAATATTTTTAATTGAATAAAACTTAATTCTACATATAATAAAAGTTTATATGACTACTCAACATCAAAATCTTAAATAAGAAGAAAAATTAAAGAACACAAATTTTTAAAAAGGAAAGATAATAACAAGTGTTAATATAAAATAATTAAGGTTATCAACAACTAGTTAATCTAATAGAACGAAACATTAGATCTCTTAGGTAATGTTAAGGATTCAAAACTTGACGTTTATGAATGGAGCAAACCGGATTAAAATGGTCACCTCATCTCTGCAGTACTCAATTTAAATAAATCAATAATAGATCAGATATAGGTAATTATATAAAAAAATAAAATATTTAGGGTTCGGTTTGTTGGAAGGTGATGATTGGTCATAAAAATTGGGCGGTTAGGCGTGGAGTAAGGGAATGAACATGGCCCTTCTTGTTGGGAATTTTGATAAGATGTTTCCTTGGTTTTTCTTTTGCTAAAATCTTCAAAATTGATGAGGTTTAGTGTATTATTGATAGCAACATGCATAAGACTTATTATACCAACTATATTGTCTTTGACTGTTTCTAATAAATAATATCAAAAGAAGGGATACTAACAACAAAGCTGCATTAATTCCAAAGTTAGTTGTACGTCTTGTTTGTAAACTTTCTAGGAAATTTCTCTCCAAGAGAGTTGCTATCATATGAGAAACTAAAAATATTTGATATATATATATATATATATATATATATATATATATATATATTAAAGTATGATATAAAATTAAGTGATTAATTATGTTATATATATATTATGAGTGGAAATTGCTAAAAAAAATATTACAGACATAAAGTATAAACATCATAAATTATATTTATAATTTAATGAGAGATCAAATTATAATATTTAAAAACTTAATCAATAATCGGTTATATAAAGCGATATTGTCCGATGAAATAAGTTAATTCGTATTTCTCTTGATCCCCTCAGAGAATTTTACGATGAGAAAAAATATATCTTACAAGAGTAAAATCAAAATACTTAAGGATTTCAATATATTATTGGATTCTTATATGCCTCTCTCTCTCTCAAATATTTTTATTCTTGATGGTTTAACATAATATATCTGGAGATATTTAGATTATAACGGATTACTTTGATTCTAGCAACTAATATAACACATATGGGAACATAAAATTGAATATACTTAACAATTCAATATGCTTTGATTTAAGAGTAAAGAAAAATCTAAATAGTCTAATTATACATTTCGTTATGTTCTAATTTATTTATATATATATATATATATATATATATATATATATATATAATTTATTTATATATATAATTTTTTAATTAAATCTTTCGATATGAGTTAAAAATGAAGAACTTTAAATTTGTGTTCGCTTTACCTAGATGCTTCAATTCCCCGTTGGGATTATCAAATCGACGACCCGAAGCCTTGTAAACCCAAGAAACATTGAACTAGTAGTCTCATTCTCCTCTCTTTTCTTTTTTTAGAATTTATTGTTTGGCTGTTGAGTTTTAATTTATCAAATCAGAGAAATTCATACGTCTTCATTTTTACAGCCATTGATTTTCATCTAATTAAAAAAAATATTATTTTAATAACTATATCACCACACTCACAAAAAAATGATGTTCATGATATCACGCCGTGACCACGTTAAAGGTCATATAATGTATTTGAAGAAGTTTAATGTTAGAATTACAATAATTAAAAAATTCATTGATATAATCGAGATGTCTTAAAGTTTAATGATATTCAATATAGTTTATCCATAAATTTATCAAGTCTAAACGATGCCAAAGGTTAGCACCAGTGTTTAAAAATGCGCAGTTGAGTCGCGCCGCTGAGACGAGGCGAGACTGAAGCGCCTAATTAAGGCTAGGCAAGGCGATTTCAATGAAGGGCAGCAGGCGCTGAGGTGCGGAGGCGCAAAAAGGCTTTGTCTTTCCATTTTTAATATCAAAGCAAACACCAACAATGGAGGCAAAGAAGAGGAAGGGTCGGAACTGTTTTTCGGTTGGGCCCGAAATTGAGCTTCGACTTGAA